GGACTAAAAGATTACAACACTTTTTTTTTAATGAGTTTTGGACACAGTTTACTCACTGAGCAGTTGGTTCTTATTTGTGGATCCATAAGTAAGAACCATAAGTAATCGCTCGATGAGTAGGTTGCATTCCGAAATCCATCGAAAAGAAAGTGTTAAACGTTTTAGTCCATGAATATACACTGAAAAAAATGGTTTGGTTGGATCAAATAGTAATTCTGGTAGAAAATGGATGAATTAAAATTTTCTTTCCAGAAATTTAGAATTTTAAATGAATTCCAATTGAGATAATTAGAATTCTGATTGATATAATTATTCTAATAAAAATAAGAATTCTAGTAGATTTTATCAGAAATATTGTATCACCAGAATCCCGGTTATTTCAACTAAAATTCTAATAAATTTAACCAGAAAATCCTGATTCGTTCATTTTTAACCAGAAATTTTTTTTCAGTGTAGATTGGGACTCATATTTCCTTTCGCTTTACAGCGACTCAATCGGAGAATAGATAGCGGAGGTGATATAAAGAGATACTGCGCTGTTATGAAAATTCAATAGCACCGTGAAAGCCAACCTTCCAAAGGGCAACCTTTTTTCATTTACCTTGACAAACTTATCTTTTTTTTTATTTTTACATTAAAACGTTTAATTTCCCGCTACAGCAGAATTTTTTAAAGACACGCGTCGTAAACTGGTTTTAAAATTCGCTTATTAACACGATTGCATTTGTATTTGTTTTTGCCGAGAGGATAAATTAATTTCTCGTTTTTACATTTTCACCATTTTAATTACTTTTCCGTCTCGTATTCCGTGCCGCATAATACATAAAATTGTATGGCCGCGAGTTACGGAAAAGAAAATGGAAGCTTGACGGACCGTTGGTTCCACAATGGCTTCGTCTCGAAATCTCATTTTTACGCGCGGGAACGTAAGCCAGACGCGTCGTCATACAGTTTCGGTAGCAACGGACTACATATTGCATGGCGACACCGAACCAAGTGCCTATGCATTTTTCATAAGTCGCCGGGTGATCCTTTCGAGCTTATTTAACTTGCCGCTGAGCTAGGTAGTGTTTACCCTCTCGCAAGATATTTTCCCAATTTCTTCAACAACGACAACTGCCCTCTCCCGTGTAAATGTCAGTTTATTTTTCAAAAGCACGGAGAGTCACAAACCGCGACGAGATTTATGATCGTGTCTCTCCAGGTCTTTTCATTATCATGAGGAATTTACCCCCGTAATTCTACACCTATAAAAAGTAACACAAGTAAAAAAAGAATATTATATTCAGGCGAAGCGAATCTTGGTGTTTAATAATATTGTTTAATAATGTTTATATGTAAATTTTTAAATATACAGCCGGTAAAAACTTTTATAAGAACACTTAAAATAAATATGTATAAACACATATAATTATGTGTGAAATATGCTTATATATGTTTGACCATCGAAAAATGTGATAATATTTATTATAATAATCAGTATATAGTGAGAGACTATAGTGATGTTTTTCGCAATAAATTCTTTGTAATGTTTTAAGATGCGTATTATTATCAACCTTTCGGAGTTGACATGGATCTATTGGATTCATTCAATTATATCCCACCGCAGCTGACGGTAGGTTTATTGGACCCACCATGCCAGTGGTTGGATAACAAAGATTCTGATGAATAACAGTAATTCAGTTTCCTCTGCGAAGTAATATTAAGATAAAAAATATATTATCACATTTGAAAATTTATGATTAGTTTTTAATTCTTATATCTATTATTGTATTTTAAATAATGCAATTCAATTTTTTTTATGTTACTTCTTCAAATTTAAATTATTCTCAAAATAAACTTAACATTCATTTTTTAATACGAATTATGTCATTTTGATTCTTTGAAATTAATTAGTGCCTTTTAATCAGCATATATTGCCAATAACTATGTTACCGATTTTTTTAGCTTCGAAGGTTTAAATTGACGATCAATGTATTTGCGATATTATTTCCAGTTTCAATTTATGATTGCATTTCAAGTCCGATAAATCGAGTTAGCATGCAGTTATAGAACTGAAAAATTTACATTTTTCAGTTTGCATTTGAGAATTTACATATGAATACTATTATCATTTGAAAATTTACATATGAATATTATTATATAAGTACCAATCTACTTCGACCAAATATTGAATTCTTTCTCTTATTCATGCTATTCACACTTTTAGGTTCATTTTCTACTTATTATTATCTATAAGAAATGTCATCGACATAATCGAACCGTACTTCTCCGCTCCGCTTTTCTCGTCGACCATTCTTTTTTCTTTGCGATTCTCGCACTTTTCCAATCTTCCTCTCAGCGTTCCTTTTATTCCACCATAAGCTTGGCCGCATTCGTGCGATCGTATCCCGCGGAATGCAGAACGTTATAACGGATCGATCGATGAGACGTGGCGCGTCTGTACCTATCTCTGCCTCTACCCACCTAACTGCCTTTAATCATCCTCAACGTTCTCGCTCTGTCGCGCTAAATTTTCTTCGCCCTTATCCAACAACCATCTGACGCTCTCCTTAATATCAGAGAATACGAGAGATCCGAAATTTCGATAAATTTGTGTACCAATAATGTTACGTCGCGTGGTTCGTCACCTACTAACTAATGCAAATCGTTATCGTGTTTTGCTCGTCGGTTTCGCTTTATTGTCTCCTCCACACATTGTGTGATTACGGAAAATCAGTTGCGTCAATCAAATCAAATTTTCAATGTGACTCATTTCCTTATTCGTCTTAATCGTTTCCGTCACGATGTGTAAAGCTCGGTTCCTGCGAACGCAACCTTGCCTCTTTTAATTTAATTTTACTTCTTGATGTTCGCTTTATTTCAATCTCATATTTCTTGTCCTTCCGCTTTTCCTATCTTTGACTCCGTTTAATATTTGATGGAGACACGTTATGATGATAATTGATCGCCATTATACAAAAAAAATGCAAATTACCGTGCTCTTTTTGCCTTGTCCCATTCCTTTTTCACATAATTTTATATTCTAGGTAAAAATACTTGTTCCAAATGACGGCGGATACCCTTTTTTTTATTGATCGTTAGTTTTATTCCACTCGAGTCATCTTGAATATGAAGATTTAGGTCGTTGAAGTTCGAAAGTGGAGCGTCAAGAACGTCGATGACTGCGATTGAAAAGATTGTGATTAAAAAAAAGTGGATTCAGGGATAACATTACAAGAGATCCACGAAGTCGATGCAACTTTCCTCATTAATATTCGATGATCGGCTGTTATTATGACACGGTACTCGCATTTAATAAGATCATCTGTTATTTTCATCGATCCCGTATAATTCTGTTTATGTAGTCTCTGATGGATATTCCATTACGGAAGACATAAAACTAATAATAACACGACTTTTCCTAGTATAATTAAGAAATAAGAAACGCATAATTATTTCATATTCACTTTGACTATATGCGGTCTTCTTCAATTCTATGACCCCACGAAGGTTTCATTGATAATATACGTGTATTGCTGCAGCTGGTAAATTGTACGACTGGCTTCATCTCTGTGTGAGTGACATAAAACGCTCATTAATATCGGAAAGCAGATTGCCATTACTCATCTTCCTCTTTTGCCTAGTCACCGTCTCCGTATCTCTCCGAATTTTTGCGATGCCGTTCTAATGCCACGTTCTTACGCAAACGCGAGTCGATACTCTTACGACGGTGCCGTCATTTTGTTAAGAAATCACGGCGCAAATGACGCCGTGTCCGGCGTCAAATCTACGCTGCAATTTTGTCAGTGGCGCGCAACACTCGTTAGTACACGACGATGAAAATGAATAAACCACGACAGTTCTAGGTGATAGCATTACATAAAGTAGCATTACATAAAAGCGTTAATATTTACGTTCAATGATTCGCAATGACGAGGAAATTTAGTAGAGCGCATTGCGCAAAAAAAGGAAGAAAAATAAGGAAGAATAGCCGAATTTTCATGCGCTATTCATCGTCGTAAAATTTGCACGTCTCTCCCGATTCTTTCGCTCGGCGTTATATTGAAATACGTACGAGCTCATTGTGATTCTCTAGAATTTTTGTTTGTGGGCGCATTCGTTACGCAACACCGCACAATGCACGATCAGTTGTCCACATTTGAATGCTTATCCTCGTGGCAATTTCCCCACTGCCCGCCAGACCCGCCCTCGCTACCATTCTCTTCCGTTCTTCTTCCCTTTTTCCCTAATGTGGAGCGGCGCTGCAGTAATCGGAAATAACCCCGGCGAGCCTCATTGAAATTCGAGTGGCGTCCTCGCGACGAGTGTATTCCGATTTTACTCGTTACCCATGACGTTACTTTGCCGGAATAAAAGAGGAAGGAGCGGCGCGACAAAGGAAACTGCTTTCAAAGACGAGAGAATGTCCCGAAATGGAAATTTTCTCCTCTGTAATTTGTACGTCTTCATCGTTCGTGCTAACAATTTATTCGTATCAAAGTCCAGCACGTTCACTAGCTAAAAATGTAATCCGCAACATCCAGTCTCCTTGAAAGCTACTACTTGCTCGAACTTGCTACATCTACTATTATATTAGCATTTCGAGATTCTCGAAATCGGATCGAAGGTGGAGGGAATCGGTTCATCAACGGGGAACGAGAACCGATCTTCTCCGAGAGCGAGAGGTATAGAGTATAGAGAAAAAGAGAGATATAGATCAGTAAGAGAATAGAAAAAAGAAGGAAGCAGACTAGCTCTTCGGTGCGAGAGATCTCTCCAAAAATATTTTCAAATCTCACCGACACCTCACACGCTCGCGTATTATTGCCTATCTTATTACACGTGTATGCCAAACCGCGCGGATGTGGACTTGCCTTCTCTCCCCAAAAGTCCTTCCTTGTCAGCCGATTATCGAGACGGGCGGCTCGCCCAGTTCGTGTCGACAATTACGATAATGACGACGACGTGGAGGCTCCCGATTTCATAGGATCGCGTGCCGCCTATGATGAAAATCAGGGTTACTCGCCGCCCAGCGATAGCGCCTGGACGATCCTCGGGTCGGCCTTGCTACCCTCCCGGAATTCCTCGAGTGTGAGCTTGTCGTCGTGGTTCTTGTCCATCTGATCGAAGATTTTGTCGACCCTCTTCTGCGGAGTATTCTCGTCCTCGGCTTGCGGCTGTTGGCCCTGAAACATTCGTTGTTCTTCGCTCAGACTTTTGCTACAGCTTTAAAATATCTAAATAAATGTACATCTGAAAATAATTTTAGCAACTTATCAAAATAATTACGTAATTATTTTAATAGTTTAACAAAATTATTTTAACGCTCAACTTGTGTAAATAAAAAATGTATGTAAAATAATTTTCTTAAAGCATCAAAATAATTATATAATTACTTTGATTTACATGACATAATTACTTTTTTTTACATAGAACGCTCAAACTTAACGACAATGTTACAAAAAATTTTGACATTCTAGTAATCAGCTAGCTTGAGCTGATCCTACATAATAGATTATTTTTAGGATTCCACAAAATTATTTTCTGATTTGTATATATCTGAATTTTTAAATACTTCAACAAAACCCAATTCTTTTCGTGTATCAAATTATTATTCTATCCTAACTGCAATGAATCAAAATATCTCTTTATTACGAATTATACGGATCTATAAATAGCATACCGTTCTTCAAACTAGAAAGAAATTACTGGACAAAGCTTTTAAGAAAACATTAATTTGTTAGCACATTTTTGTCCATTGTTAAAAATGCATAAAAAATTCTCATTATTGTGAGATTTTATCGCCATTACAATGATTCGCGGAAAAAAGAGATTTCACTATCCATTATTACTTTAGTGCCGCAAATCCATCGCTGCAGATAGTGCCATGATGGTTGGCGACAGGGGTGGCCATCCCGCGGCACGTATGCCTCTAATGGCATGCAAAGGCATTCTCAGGCCAGTATTCATAGTCAGTTCTTATATTTTAAAGGCCATTTATAATGGATGTAATATGGTGTAGTAAATCGTAAGCCGTAAAAAATCGGCTGATCGCAGTCAAATGTGAGGAGAGTAATCGACTATAATTGATCAATTTCTTACAGCTTACGGCTTACTATATAATATTACTCCTATTGTAGATGACCTATAAAACTGTAAAAATGTATTTGACACCGTTTCAATTTATGGACGTTTTTACATTATTTTATACAATTTCTAAGTGTTCACTAAATGATTATTCGTTATACAACAAATTGGTTTTTGGTTAAAGAGAGACGGTTATCACGGTTTCACCATCCTTTTTATAGTAGATCGACCGTTAATCACAATTTATTTAATGTGGACCAGAGACCCTCTTTAATCAGAGACCAGAAGACCTGTTTTGATTGGTCTAGAATTTTCGTTAATTCCCGGTCATATTTGAAACATAACCTTATCGTTAACACAAACGTATTATATTTTAATAACACAGTTTAAAAAAATATGTCAGAGGAACTAAATATTATCTTCTTTATTCTTAAATTAATAATATATTCTTAATTTTATTGTGATGACTTTAGGAACATGATACTTAACTTCACAAAGATATGAATTATTCGTAGGCATTCAATCTTTACGGGCAACATTTTTCGCCCACATCGCACGACGTTTACGATCTCTCGGAAATATTTTCAATATATATTTGTGGATGAACTATTGCAAAATTCGGCGCAACATCCACTCATTCTTGCAATATCAGCAAATGTCTAACTGATGTCTAACACAGTACATTGATACACGTGCGCGAAAGAGCGAGACTGAGCGAGACAGTCTATATACCTCTCTCATTCGCAAGAATTTGACGAAATCTGTTGGCCAGTCTCTGATTAAAGGGTCTCTAATGTAGACGAAGTTTAGAATTAGTTTTATATTAAGAAAGACCCAAAACGAAGAGTTGAAACATATATATTGCATTTTTGTTAGAATCATCGAGAGTAAAGAGATTTCTACACACTCGAATAACTGACGTAAACTCTGATTGGTCGTTATATATATTTTTACTGATAGATTCTTCGAGCCTTAATTTATATATTTGTCTATAAAACCGTCTTAAATACAGACTTAAAATATTATAAACTAATCACAGAGCCATATTAGTCTTAAGATATTTAAAATGATTTTAAAATAAGATCAGACTATAAATACCGGCCTCAGTGGCATGCTTAAAAAAAGCACTCCCTGTTAGAGGAAAATTAAAATTACTAAAAATGACATAAAGTAATAATTGGACTCCACTAAAATTTATCTATCTGTTACACTTGCGCTGTCTGACCGTCCCTTTTATGATCAAATGGTTCAGAATATCGATTTTTAATGCAATCGTTTGATTTTATGGGTTTTAATTGATATCGGTTAATCCGCTAATTCCCTGTAATGTGATTTGACTTTATCAATTGCATTCAATCGCATTACGTAGCTTGGTTTATTGTTTTAAGGTCAGCCGTCAAAGTCTCATGTGCCTTTGTCGACTGCGACCTGCATATTTTTGGATTACCATGTGCATGTCTCGCGTTTATACACATAATATGTCACTATATTTCTCTTTGAAATTAATATTAATGAGACTTGGAAGTGATTAATGGCGAACCGTTGTCGCCAGACGGATTTACTACGGTCGCGTCGAATTTCATGTTAAAATTTGCATCGCTGCGCGAAATTCGGTATAAAACAGCCGTGTGGAGCGTTGAGGTATTTGCCATGGACCGTTGAAGAGTTTCGTGGCGCATTATATGAGTTTTTCACGTCTCGATGGAAGTAACGTAGTTTCCACGGAAAGTTTTGTTCAAAGTGCGTAAGCAGAAACCTGCGCACTTTCGTTTATATTGATAATTTAATTAGCTTCACAGAGAAAGAGAAGAGGAAATTGTAATTCGCCAGCTAGTGCATATTTACTATGCACTTTATAGTGTGCATTCTCGAATAAAAACGAACCAAACTTCGTACTTATAATCCTTTCTCTGTTGGAGAAATCGGGATCGTGAGAAAACATAACATAATTTAATAAATCTATCTAGAGAATTAATTTAATATTCGTACGTTTGTAATCGTAATTTAAACGAAAAACTGAAAGGAAGTTTATCTTCAAATATTCAAATTTTTTGTTTCTTGTTAATTAATTTTGTAATTGATTCTAAAGAAATGTGATTAAAGAAAAGATTGCGTTTAAATAACTCCAACAGTTTAATTGTTCACATGAGAAATAGCATTACTACTCATACGGATAATTTGATTTGATTTTATGAAAGAAAATACTACAAAAAGTAATGACAGAATATTATTTCCTAATTTTTTTTTTCGTTTTTGTATGTACAGCAATAAAACTGTACGATGATACTCTTGCATTGCATATCGATTAGTAAACGATTCACCATTATTTAGAAATCAGTTTTTTATAAACACATATCGACGGCAATCAAATGTTCATTTGAAAAGAATGAAGTTTGTCATCGTTTTAATAGAAAAGTATTTATGGAATTTAATTTGTCTTTATTACATTTCCCTAATTTTTTACGTCCAACAACAACGAACTTTTAATAAATCGATAGAAAATTATAAAATTAAAAATTACCATATTTTTTTATAACACAGCAATTTAAATTATTTTAATTATTTGCAATTAAAAATAATATTCAAAAAATTTTTGGTTTAGATAAGATTATGTAATTAATGAAATTACATAATTTTATCCTTCTCAATAAAAATTTGGGAAAAGAGATAATAATAATAAATTAATTTTCATAATTATATACTATCTCGAGTAAAATGAAGATAATTTTTTTTATTTTAGAATTCCTTTTAAATTCAATTTTAATCAAGCATTTCATTTCAATAAAAGAAAGAATTATGCTTTAGTTTTACATGTAATAAGTTAAAATTTGACTATTTAATGTATTTATATTCTTTATTAATTAAATTATAACGTACTTGTTGAAACAGAATACAGCAATAAATTTTCAAACGTTGTTAGTATCTAGTGGGAATCGTTATCTTGGGTTAGTAGCACATAAAAAAATGTAAAATGTTACAATAAAATGTTATCAATAAGCGAATCGGCCAATCACAATAGAAAACATAAGACAATGACATAAGTAGTAGTAAATAAAAAATATGCCTCTGACCGTAGGCGACGCTAACGAAACAAAATAATAGCATTGTCGAGATAATAATTGCTGAATTTAATTCGATATAACGGAATGTATATATATTTTTTAATACCGTAAAATGGAGACGAGTAACTTTGACCCAGTCGAAATAACTTTGATCCAAATTTTGATAATTCTTAGACAGCACGCGTGTCAAAATCGAGATATAGAACGTTTCAAAAACATCTTAAAGACGTTTTATATTTTAATTTTGGGCATACGTGCTTTAGGCATTTTTAATTTGGATCGAAAGGTGCGGTCCATTTAATACTGCAAATGCTTTGAAACATTTGATTAATCAATCAGAAGAACTGAAATTGACTGGTAGTCACAGTTACCTCATTTTACGGTATGTTAAATGTTTCGGGAGACGATAGCAAATGGGCACGCGACCTTGGTGCTTGTTGTGACGTGTCATCATTCTTACGGCGACGCCGAAACGGGTACTGGTGCGTGTCACCGCGTTATTATCCTTTGAAATGCAATCGTTCCCGATTACCACAGTTCACGATTGCCTTTTCGAGCGGTTTATTAACTCTCGCGGCTAATGACTTACACCTGTCAAGAGACAACAATTATCTAGCGGATATCTCGCGCAATTCATTTGAAGTGTCGAACTCAAAATAGGATTATGAACACAGGGATTACGAACTGCTGTTTCCATTGCAATACTCGCGGGTAATAATTATTCCTTTAACGATACTTGTCGAGTATACCTCATTTCACATTACGCTTTGTGTGAATCTCTCGCGTATTCGAAAATAAAAATTCCACCATTATCGGATTGAGAGCTCGCAGGTAGAACAATACACAAATAATCAACTTGAGCGATTCAATTAATCTGAGGCAAACCGCATATCGATCGTTTATTAATAATTAATTTGTGACGCATTGAATGAAATATTCGGCATACAAATATAATAAATTTTATATGATTCTTTTAATGGATTTTATAATTAAATTTTTCGTAGCAAATTGTTCGTGCTAGGAGCTGATCGTTTTTTTAATTATATTGCTATGCGATCTGGTCACTGAGGGCTTGATACTCCGAGGATTTTATATTCTGATAATAAAGAAGCACAGACACCACATTTCCACAAATCATTAAGGCTGGTTCTACCATGTAAGATTAATTTAAACTTAATTTAACTTACTGTTTATCTTTTTCTAATTTTTAAAATTCTAATTCTTACAATTAGAAAAAGCTAAAGAGTAAATTGAACCGAATTGATCGAGATTAAAGTTAATCTTATACTGATATATTTAAAAAGACAGAACAATTTTTTAATGTTTACGTAAATAACTATTCATCTATTTTTCCTGTTTATTTCATTAATTTATTTTATTTCATTGATTTAAAAAGTTTTTTAAAAATTATATATATGTTTTTTATTAGATATTCAGTTAAAGGATGAATATAAAATTTGATGCAATAATTATTTTTTTAATCTTAATTATCTTATGTCTTACTATAATAATTTGGATCTTAATTCGGATCTTATATTTCTATTTTACAGATTGACATAGTTTTGATGTAAATCTGCAATTCCTCTGTTGTACATTATATTAGTAAGTGACGAATTAAATTTTATTTTGTACTAAGCTGACAGATTTAAAAAAGATAGTACCGGATATGAAAACTATGTATATATATATATATACGTCAAATTAAATCAACAACTGCAATGGTTAACAAACTCGCAGTAATAATTATTCATTAAATGTACGATATTTATCATTTGGTTTTATCATAACTTTGTAATTTATTTATCTTTATGTATGGATAGATAATGTTTTATCAGTTAAACTGTTAAAGCATAGTATAAAATGACATAGTATAAAATAACGTTTCAATTTCAAATAATAATAGAGCAGTGTATCACAAGCGTGTAACACTTTAATGATACTGTATAATATACACATAAATATATAGGTGATTCGTTTTGTTTCTCATATAAGTGCTCTCATTTTAGCTCTAATTAAAATTTATCTTTCAAAAGGTTGGTCATTTAAAAAGTATGAAACTAACAATAAGAATCTGAACTGTTCAAGACAAGATTCATGGTATAAATACGGGCTTTAAAGTTTTAGTAGACGTCACAACCGACGAAAGATTAGAGTGCACGTTGCGTAGTACGAGGTTGCATTGTAACTCAAAAGAAGCCGCATACATCGTGCTTGTCAGGAGCAATAGCGGTGAGGAGGCGACGTTATAGTTTACGTTGCTAACTCGCTTGTAACATGCTGCTTGAAAACTGCAGAAGAGGATTATAACTTCCGCTAGATTACATGTAACGCGCTCAGTCGGATAAAATATTGACCTGATATTGAGCACATGTGCACGATGCATTACGATTGCATCGCAGCTAGCAAGTTGTTAAGCAAGCACGAAAATCTGCTATCGTGCTAAAATGTGCTATCGTGATCTTATTTATAGATGGCGAATAAACGAAACACAGTTGTGTTAAAGACAAAATAAGCGAAACACGAGCGATATATAGATATCAAATAAGTGAATAAATAATAGGATACTTAAGATAATAATCATTCGATTTTCTCATTTTGTTGAACAGCATACTCTTGATCCTACACGAAAAGAACGATTTCATTGAAGTATCTAAAAATTTAGTCAGATACGGATCTGAAAATAATTTTGAATCAAAATAATTATCCGGAAAGCTGAAGCATGATGAGCAATCCTGCAAAAAGTTTTGACATTCTAGTAATTAACTTGAGCTTGTATAATAATTTTGATGATCTAACAAAATTATTTTTAGCGAGGGGGTAACCACTTAATGTAATTGTGGGACAGAGTCCTCGAAATCATTATAAAATTCATATAAAATATCTATGTATAATCCGATAATATGCAACTACGAGAAATTAATTTATTAATATAATATTAAATAAAATCGTATATTTTATCAAATTACTTCATATGTGAAAAAAATTATTTGTAATCAGATGAAATCATGTAATCTGTGGGACAATATTTCAGCTAGTGGTTATCCCCTTGATATTTTTAGGTATCTAGCTAAATTTTTTAGATACTTTTCTCTAGATACTTTAACAAAATCGTTCTTAGGAATTTTTCGCGATTGTCATCAAATTCTGTACAATTGACGTCAATAGGGGAGATAAAGTTAAGTTATTTTGAGAAAATCGCAGAATATATAGGCAAAATTGATAGGGCAAGATGCATTAGAACCCAACAAAATTGAGAAGCGAACAAGAAAACGTTTCACGTCGAAAGTTTTCTCTCGCTGGTCAAAAAGTAATTTGAAAGGGATGCACTTACGACCATCTGATATATCGCGTCGACTATATTGTACATCTCGTCCCTCGTGATGAAGCCGTCGTTGTCCACGTCATACAAACGAAAGGCCCCTGAAAAGAAACAAAGAAAGGGAGAAAAACGCGATTGATTTCTGCTACTGAAATTCCTCGAAGACACAAAATCCGAGGGTACGCTTTGTTCGAAGATGAGAAATCGTATTTTTCGTTTCATGCACGATTCTTTCGCGAGCTTGTAATTTCTATGTCTCTCCGACGATATTCCAGACCGTGACATTCTCGGTAAAGCTTTCATTCTTCACTTACGTTCAGTTGTGATCGATAACAGTTTTCCCGAGGAGAACAATCGAAGGGGTTTGTCGTCTTACGTTGCGATCTTTCATAAATAGTTTCAAATTTTATGCGTAACGATTACGATATGCAAATTCTTTTTGGGAATAAAATTTCCAGAAAGCGTGGGCATTAATTTATTGCTCGATAATGAATTATAAAAATTATATATTATTTTAATATTAATTGAATGTAATTTTATCAAAATTGTTATCTATTTTTATTGATTTTATAGAAACGTAAAAGCATGAAGATGCATCTCTGATACCAGTTCTGATTTTTTATGTGAGGTTATTAACGGCGAACTTTTTGTTTTCGCAGATAAAATTGAGTTTAAATTATTGATTTAATTGCGTTAAGTAAATCAACATTGACAAAAGTTTGTATTTGTGACTATAATTGCATAATAAAATAACTATGATTAGAAGCTTCATTTTTATAATCGTTATTGCTATAATCTTAGTAATAATAATTAAATTTATAGTTCTAAATAAAAAATATGTAGTTTGCATCGACAATGGCTAAATTACAATTAAATTATAGTAATTCCAACGATTTTTTTTCTTTTAGTATTGAAAGGGAATTGGCGGCGCGATTCCGACAATTGTTTGTGACGTGTACAAAGTGGATGAGTAAACAAAGTAATACACGAGAGAATTCTTTCAAATTCGCGTAGATAAGTTTTTCGAAGGAGATAAAGGATAAAATACTCACAGTGAAGCTTTTCGTCCAGGTTACCGCGTGACGTCACCGAGAGCGCTCTTATGAACTCCTCGAACTCTATCGTGCCGTCCTGAAACAACATTTCGACATATTCTTATTTTGTCGGACGCGAAATGTTCTTTCCTATCGATCGAATATTCGAAGATCACTTTGCGATCGCGTTTCTTTAAAGGCGAATAGCTATCAGTTGCCAGTCGAGCAACTGTGTCGGCTGATACATTGTGCAAATAGTTTTCCCTCTCCCGAGTATTCGTATTTTCTCTCGAGCCGCAAATCGAATAGTCTTGCGAAAGAAATCCAAAAGGAAAATTTTTGTCTCAGATATTTCTCAACATTTTCAATAAACGTACTCGACATGCAGCGAATACTAATCTTCACTCGATTGTCTGCATTGAGAGAAAAATGTTTGATATTTGTAACTATAATTATATGTTAACATGATTATTTAATCTTATTATTGTTATAATAGTTAGTAATAATGACTATGTATACTTTTATCAACAAAAATATGTATATGTAGCTGGCACCGAAAATTATTATAAATTATAATTATATTATTACTGTAAAAATGACGAATGAATATAATTTAATTATAATTTGTAGTAATTTTCGGCGCCAACTATAATGCTTCTTCGCACCTCAATAAAGTTATAATGTAACGTAATATAATGTTTGTTGATAGAACTATGTTATTATTGCTAGTATTAGCAGTAATAACCATAATTTGTAATAACATGTAATTATAGTCCACAAATACAAAAAAACTCTTTCAATTGTGGAAAGAGAGTCAACGGTGATTAATTCTTTGAAGCTAATGCCAAAATCAGTTACTGACTCTGAGTCTGTAAAACTTATTTAATTTATGTTAATTAAAAGTCACTAATTAATTTCAAGGAACCAAAATAACTTGTATTAAAAAAATTGAATATTAAATATATTTTAATGAAAATAATAAAAAAAAATTTACGGATGTAACATAAAGAAAATTCAATTGTTTGTATTTTTGACAATGAAATTTATAATTGAGTGTATTCAATGACCGATTATCAGCTACGGAAGGTTAAATATCGCAATAATCAATACGGATTATTTCGGTCCTGACGTGCGTAAATTTATTCAAATGGAACTCACGATGTAAATTAACTGTCTATTCTAATACCGAGCTAAATAAATGCTTAATCGTGCAGTTAAACGGTAATAAAGACTTGCTATTAGGGATGGCGCCATATTGAGCATAGGGGAAACAAAATAATTTGAGTACGATAGTGAGAATGCGCATCGCGTGATCGTTTGCATGCAAACGCCAACTTGACGAATATAAAAAGCATGAGGGTTCGCGGAAAACCACGTTTACACACGTGACAAGAAACTTACGGCGTTCTCATCGAAGACTCTGAAGACGAGAGAGGCGAACTTTGATGGGTCACCTTGGGGGAAAAACTGCTTGTAGATCTTTATGAAGCCCTGAAATCACGCGAGCGCCATGTACATATATCATCAGCTTTCTTTCGCTATTGATTATTGCAGGTGATTAACCTTTATCTCCGCTATTATTACCATGTGACATTACATGATTAATATACTTTTCGTTCTGAATATCGCATTCTAGCTATTTATATCAATTTAATTTCTTGCTTTACGTCTTACTTATGTTACACTGAGAGAAAAATGTTTGGTATTTATGACTGCAACTGCATGATAAGATAATTACAGCTAAGAATTTATATATATTATATATTTATAAAATTGGATAAGATGATTATATATATTATATATATGTATATAATCATCTTGTCCAATTTTATAGTTATTATTGCTATAATGTAATATTAGCGAATTCTATTGGAAGCACTCAGTGCACATTGATGTGTATTAAAAAAAAATTTATCATACACAAATTGATGTAAAAATATACAGATAAAATAAGTTAAACCGTGAAATACATTTCAACCTCGATACATTTTATTGTGTTGTTTTATAAAATATATATTTTTTAATTCGAAATATTTACTTTTACACTCAGATTAAGTCAGTGTACAATCGCTTTAATATGCATCAGTGCACATCAGTGCATCCAATTGAATTCTATATTACTCTAATAATAATTATAATTTTATAGTCATTCTTCTTATTAACAGTAATAATTCTAAAATGAAACTCCTAATCATAATAATTTTATCATATAATTATCACAAGTACCAAATACTTTTTTGTTAGTGAGTAAAAGTTTTTTCTAAATAAAAGGAAAGGAGAAAGTTAATATGATTTAAATATATTTAACAATGCATACCTGTTCTGTTAATAATCCATCGGGGCAATCCTTCAGGAATCCTTTGTGCCTACATAATACATAATAATTTTTATATAAATAATTATTTAAAGTAAAAATTTTGCGTTGTAATAATAACTGAAAATTACGAAAGAATTTTTTAAATCTACTTTTACAGAAAACTTAATCTTCTTAAGTCTGTTTTTATAAGAATTTTTTTATTTTAACTTAGCAAAGAACTAAATCAGTTCTGTCGTAAATTATTTTCTTCTGATTATCGGCGGAATCCTTAATCATCCTATCCAAATTCACGCAAGTTAGTATAATAGTCTATTGCTTTTCTTAGAGCCAAACTTACCATTGACGAATTTCCTTCTCGGTGACTGAAACAGAAATAAGGAGGAACATTTGAGAGGTAATTAATTATTGGTTGTTCGACGTGTATATAGTAAGATTGGGTTATTCCGCGCGTGAAAAGTGCCTCCAGTAAGAAAAAGCGCAACGGAAAGAGTTACTGAGAGAGCGGGCCGGAGAATTATTGTTCTCCAGTGCTCGCCAGGCTCGTATCAACTGCCGTGTGATTTACTGCACGACGGATTTACTCGGTAAATTCAGTACGGAGGTACGTGTCACTGAAAAACCCGATTGTTCCGTGAAAGCGATCAAATTTTTATACGGTGCCGAGGGCGAGCGGGTCAAAATCGTTTCTCTTTACGTCAGCGGACGAAGAGTGGGACGTTACGTTCTCCTCTGCGTTTACTTCGACAGACATGAAACAAAAATGTATCCCGACTAGAAGTGACTGATTTAAAAAAAAAAAGAAAGATCGCCGCAATGCAGGAGCGATTTGTTTGGTGGACTGAATTTATTTGCGCGAAGGAGGAACCAATATTATTACTACGAAAACAATCGATAATGGCGCTTGTCCCTCAAGACGGATGTGCGTTCTGAAATAACGAAAGTTTTCCTTTGAATCTTTGTATTTAAGCGAATGGATTACTCGGCGTTTCTTTTTTATGGTGGCGGTCGAAAAGTAGGAAAAATAGGGGAGGAAGATTTAAAAAGTGTTTTGTCAATTTTTCTTAAATTTTTGAGTTCATATAAAATATTTGTCAAGGTGCGTTTTTCGATAAGAGTAAAGACGGCGAAAAATATTGGTCTGACGTGCTAAAATCGCGCAAATTGATTTGTGAAATAGGTTTCTGTATATCGCTAAAGTTTACTCCAAACTAGCGGAGATATTTTATTTTTTAGCAAAATACCTTATTGGAATTGCATCTTAATTGATAACTAAATGGTAGGTTACCCTCTAAAGTACACGTGCCGTGGAGTAAAGCACTTTGATTCCCCACGTCAGCTGAACCGAATGTGTTATGGCGGAAGGAAGGGACAAAGGGTAAAGGGCGTAGAAGACGCGAACGCTCGAGATCGATAGAACTACGAGAGAACATGAAGAGTTTTGCGGTTTATATGGTAATCTTGCGCCGTCCCGAGTATACCATTAGCTTTCGCAAACAGTGCAGCTTCCCTGTCTCGTACGAGAAGAACTCTAACTGTACCGGATATCACATGATCTTCTGTCCTAATCAGGATATTATCCCGATCATGATAGTTCCGCAACTTTTTCTCATTCTTCGAGACTAGGAGAAATGTACAGGAAGTTTCTCGACACCACGTTTTCGCAGGATATTTTGCACGGAAAGAACGGATTTGCTGAAGTATCTAAAAATTTAGATAGTCACAGATCTGAAAATAATTTTGTTGGACCATTAAAATAATTATATAAAACGCTCAAGCTGGTTGTTAGAATGTCAAAACTTTTTGCAGAATTATGCTTGAGATTCCTACGTAATTATTTTAATGGTCCGACGAAGTTGTTTTCAGATTCATATTTTTAGCTAAATTATTCTTTGTGTGAAAATACACGGTAAAACATTTTGTATTTGTGTTAAAACCTGTCTACTCAAATCCTTGTTAAAATACTGCGTTGAATTTTTAACATATCTCTCTTACGGAAGTTTAATACTGGAAAGAAGTGATTAATTACTTATTTTGAATAAAAGCACAGATAAGAGCATCGTTGTTCAGTGCTTTCAAAACTCAAAATAAGTAATTTCTAATTATTTTATTAAATTGGCTAGTATTAAATTGGATTTTTGTAAGGTTAACTTCACTAAGTGTTAATTCAATATAATGTGATTATACGATGTTAAATTAATGCCCCTTACAGAAATTTAATTTAATACTTTATTTAAATACTTTATATTAAATTGATATTCAACATTTCTTAGTGACAAGATAACAATTTATAAGTATGTGAACAAATAACAAAAATAATATATTTTTAAAACGTAAATTCTAAGATAAATGAATAAAATGTGTTAATTTAATATATTGTAAATGTTAATTTTATTGCAAAAATATGCTTCCACAGTTTATGTCAATGTTACATTTTTGTGTTAATTTTTTACATGATATTTATGTTAGTCTTTAACATATTTAGCTTGTATTAAATTAACACAAAAACTTGGACCATTTAGGACACGTGAAATGTGTTAAATTTAACACAAATTTTCCAAGTGTGTAAAATCTTAAACTTTTAGAACAAGCCGTCGAATTTTAAATTATGCGAGACAGATTGTCGGCGATTGTCGCGAGGATCGATTGCGAGCTCGCGAACGCACCGACCGATCGTTATTCCTCGGAGTTGACGGGGCGGTGGCCCGATGGTCGACCGAAATATTCCTATAACTATGCAAATGCAATTCGCGTGGGAGAAGGTTTTGTCGGTAGAACGATTCGGTCGTTGTCGACTCTCTTCCCAGGATTTCTCGCGACGCGAAAAAGGCTCGTTTGAACCCGGACTATCAATCTGCGCGTAATGCACGATACCTAATATGAATATTGAAAGATCCTTGATGTGCTGCTCTGTTTTCACCTTCTTACTAAATCTCTCTCGCATTTATTTCTTTTACTAATTAACCGCCAATTTCAATATCTCTAGGGATATCAGTCTCGTACTTATCTCAAGTACGATCAAGCAGTTTACGATTTCCGACATGGAATCATCATTCATCGAGAAAATTTGGGAAGCATATAAACGGAGCGTAGCAATGAGTCACGCGACTTCGATAAGAACGAAAATTCTCTCGTTTTTCGTGTGATTGATTCGTGGCCGATATTTAGAGTGACACGCGAATCGCCACGCCGGCTCGGTTTTCTCACGACTCGTTCAATTATTCTATTATACCAATGCAGTGGCATAACACAGCGGCCGTTTCGTGGCTCGTTTATAAACGAACAATTTTCAGAGAGTATAAAAATACGTTGGCTACAAATTTTACGAATGAGTTATCTTTTTAAATTTCATGGAGTGAAATTTCGCTTGAAAAATGGTGTAATTACCGAATCATTCAAATTAGAGTGATTTTTCATTTAAATGGAGTGAATTCTTCCTTTGTCGGAGAGAGAGAGAGAGAGAGAGAGAGAGAGAGAGAGAGAGAGAGAAAGAGAGAGAGAGAATATTTTCACTTGTAATTAAAGAGTGAATTGGAAATAGTGCATCAAGCAAGAAGAAATTCGGTAAGAAATGTCAACAATTTTTTTTCTTCGAGATAAAATGCTAACAAGAATCTGTGTATTTACTGAGTTTAAATATTTTTTAGACAAAAACTCATTCAAATCTTATATTGAAGTCGTTTTGACTAATGTTTCACTTCAAATGAAATATTCACTATATTAGTTGAAGTTAAACATTTATTCTTATAAAAAGTAAAATGACACTCCATCCCAAGTGGCAGTATTTTAACTATCAATTGGAATAAATTTTCACTCTTTTTGAATGAGATTTTATTTTGAAAAATTTAAAGAATATTTTTGCGAGCTTATGTTTACATACAATTCTCTCTTTCTTTCTAATCGAATTGGATTTCGAATCAAATATACTGATTAAAAGATCGAGGATGCTTATAAAAGATTGGTCGTAGTTACTTATAATACTTAATACTTCGACCGATTTACTGGTCTTACAGGAGTTATGGCATACCAACTAAATTGCATCGCTCTTATCTGTCGTTCACATCCTCCATTTTCCGCCTTTTTCGCACTTTCCTTAAATCCCTCGATATCTCCTTTGCTGAGAATTTTTTTCCTCGAATGAAAAAAATGAATCGCTGAATAATATGATCCGCTTTATCGCATTAATTTGTACAAATGCGTTCGGAAGCGAGGATTAATGGCGGCATCGAGTCCAGTGATATTTATCGCTTAAATATGAAATTACTTTTGCTGCATTACATATGCATTTAATCATTTCAGTGAAATATCGCGAAAATCAATTGTGATAGAGAATGCAAATTTTTTAGAGGACACTATGTAAAGCATTGAACATATAACTGTTAGTTATGTATCGTTGCGTTACATGTATCACATTGTGATACATTAATGATTGACTGTAGAGTAAACGATCTAAAGGCTGAGAGATAAAAGTTAGTAGTATTTAATTTTAAATATCATGCTAGTAGTACTTAATTTTAAATATTATAACGATCTAAAGGCTGATAAAAGTTAGTAGTATTTAATTTTAAATATTATGTTAGTAGTATTTAATTTGAAATATCATAAAAAAGTAAACTCTTTGTAAACTCTCTAATGTAATTATGTCCTTCAGACTGGACGTCACATTCTTTGTTTTTCTATCAATTTATTTGCTTGATCCTTTTAATAAGTATAAGAAACATTGGTACTTTTCTAATATCAAAGTATATATCTGTCGTACGTGTCCAGGGAGTTGTATGGAGAGTAGATTTTTGCAAGTTTCTACCAGCTATTTCTCGAAATATGTTTCCTCGTAATCCTCATATGCTTCGTTCATACAAACACTCCCATTTCTCTTTTTCCCTCCATTCAATAATAACCCTGCGGTAGCTCCTCAAGTACGTTTTCTGTCGCAACGAGCACAAGTTTTTCTAATTTGCGGCTCAACGACACGTTTATAAGTGGAAATGTCGAGGTCTGTCGGAGAGGACCGTTAAAGAAATTCAGTGATATTGCTGTTACACTTCTGTCATCATATGCTAACGTAATCTCAGCTTATTTTCCAGTGGTTGAGTTTAACTTGGCGTTTTTCCTGGCCGTCTGTCTCGTTAGTCGTTTGCATTCGTCGCTCGTTCTGGCGATAAAGTCAAAACTGTCGAATCAATCAATGCATACTCGACAAACTGACGCGATATATTCCTTCACAGTTTCAAATACATTCCGTATTTGCACGTCATATTTTCTGCTCGTGATTCGCTTTAAAGAGACATACATGAGCGACACTAAGCGCGATCGCGCCTCGCGTCAGTTTTACCAAATATCGGGAAAACTTGTGCCAAGGTTCGAT